CCTGAGGAAGCCCACAGAGCGAAACGTTGAGCTATTAAACAAATTTAAACATTTTATATTGTTATTTTATTTTTGTCTAAAATTAAAACAAGACTCTCCCTCCTACCCTGCTTACCAAAAAATGATGATGATGATGATGATGATGATGATGATGATGATGATGATGATGATGAATGAAAAAATGAAAGACTGCACTGCACAAAAATATTCTTCGTTTTCACGACAGCCCCAAAGTTGGACAATCCCCACACCTATGCACACAACAAAGAAAACAAAATTGTTCACAGTCCGTTGGCGGATTCTTTGTAAGGCAGAATAGATCCGGGTCAACTTCTGACGAATTTCCCACGCCCTCTGTGTCCTATCTACTGCTATGTCCTATCTACTGCTATATAAACTCCGCTGTTTCGCCAGAAGCAAGCACAGATTTGACTGTCTCCAGTGTAAGTTCGTCGTTTACACTTGATTATAATATAGCCAGCACAATGAACACGGTCTGCCTGTTCATAATCCTGCTTGGGAGTGTTTCTACAATTGTAAGTATTATGAGTATGTGAGGCAGCGTGGTGGAATCAGGCTCTCGTCAATTTTTGGGCATACAGAGTTATTGGTATTTTCATAAAGCTTGTTCACTTGTCTTTATTTGGATGAAACAAATATCCATTTATTTTGAATACAAGTCGAGATATTTGCAAATGATGGAGGTAAAATTATTAAGAAAATGGTCGCCGATTATTAGTTATTCCCTTAGCTTAAAAGTCCATGGTAACTGAAAATTTACTTTTTTGTGCATTTAATCTATGTATTTCAGAAAAATCCAAACAGAAATGAGTTCTTTAATGGGCATGAAAGGTGTTTAGCCAAAAAACAAAATTATGATAAAAATTCACAAAGCTGCGGCAAAATGCAAGTTTCTTCACTTTGATTATTTTGACGAGAGCCTGATTCCACCACGCTGCCTCACATATTACGTCTCAAATTCAATGGGAACGTTTGACATGCATCAGAATTTTTCTAATTGTAATTAATATTGTAGCTAAATTAGCATGACAATTTGAATTTATATGATTATAATAATACATGAATGTAAATAATACATAACTATAAATGTTATATTCAAATTAGCAGGTGAATTTATATAACTTTAATAAAATGTAAAACAAGGTATGGATTTCTCTGTCTGTCTGTCTGTCTGTCTGTCTGTCTGTCTGTCTGTCTGTCTGTCTGTCTGTCTGTCTGTCTGTCTGTCTGTGTTTACGTGTCTGTCAGTCTGTTTATTTGTTTGTATTTAATATGTTGGTTCGTTTGTTTTCTTTTGAAGGTTGACATACCTGTTCGACTCTGACGGAAGTCAAATGACGGGTGTAAAATGCAAGATGTAAAATGCCGGATGCGAACGAGTTAATTATTTCTGGTCTTTTCTTAATGCTGGTCTCATCGCCGTCTTTTCTTTTAGGGGTTTTATTTTTGCCTATATGTGAGACACCGTGGTGGAATCAGGCTCTCGTCAATTTCGGAGCATGTAGAGTTATTGGTATTATCTTGAAGCTTGTTCACTTGTATTTATTAGGATGAAAAAAAATATCCATTTAATTTGAATACAAGTCGAGATATTTGCGAAAGAAGGAGGTGGGGTCACCTGTTTTCAGAGGTAACATTAGTGAGAAAATGGCAGCCAAAGATTAGTTATTTCCTTAGCTTAAGAGTCCGTGATAACTGAAAATCACGCTCTCGTCAAAATAATCAAAGAAAAGAAACTTGCATTTTTCCACACGTTTGTGAATTTTTATCAAATTTTTGTTTTTGGGCTCAACACCTTTAATGCCCATTAAAGAACTCATTTCTGTGTGGATTTTTCTGAAAAACGTTGATTAAAGGCACAAAAAATGTAAATTTTCAGTTACCATGAACTCTAAAGCTAAGGAAATAACTACCTCCTTCTTTCGCAAATATCTCGACTTGTTTTCAAGATTAATGGATATTTGTCCACACAAATAAAGACAAGTGAACAAGCTTTAAGATGATACCAATAACTCTACATGCCCAAAGATTGATGAGAGCCTGATTCCACCACGCTGCCTCACAAAGATTTATCTTCAATTTCGCGTTATTAAAAGCTTTGATAGAGCTTTGAGATGGTGTACAAATCGAACAATCTCAAAATGAAGTGGACTTGTCGCGACGACAAAGACGAAATAATGTAGTGTTGTTGTTTTTAAAAAAATTAATTTTGATTGGTATCTTTATTTTTCTTTCCAACAAGGAGACCTGAGGATTAAACTTCAATTCCGTGTTGTTGAAAGCTGTATCTTTGACAGAGCAATTGTGTGTGTGTGTGTGGGGGGTGTATGTAAAAAACATAAATTCTCAAAATTAAGTTGGCTGATCGTGAAAGAGATGAATTGATGTAATGTTGTTGTTTTTAAAATGAAAATGAATTTAGTGTGCTATCTGTATTTTTCTCTCTAACAAGCAGGAAAACCAATCTGGCCCTGTGTTCCAGAGGGCTATATACGTTTTTTCTGTCGTTGAAGCAGCAGCACTGGGAACCGTCATTGGTGAGGTAAGTATTCGTTTTTGTTTTTTGTTTTTGTTTTTGTAAAGTGTTTTACGGCGCTCGCAACTGCACAAGGTCATATGAGCGCGCGGGACACACCTAATATTTTCAGTTGGTAGGAAATTTTGAATTTTGCCCGGGTGGCGGCCGAAGCCTACTCTTAT